ATTTGTTTATACACTCTCGACACGGCGATTATTTCACCCAATAGAGCTTTTTAATTTGCAACCTGAGCGAACCACATAAAAAATAAACATCCAGCCTGTCCAATCCACTCGCATTCCACCGGTTGCTAGGCCATTTAGGCACATCCACACCTTGTTGCCTCGAAGAAGAAGGCCATCTGTTCTGTGCCGAACACCACCCACCGCCCACTGGTTTCGCAGAAGAACCGCCTTCCTTTGAAGTGGGTCCAGGCGAGTAAATTCGGTTAATTTACAGCCCAGAATTTGAATTTCAAACGGGTGCGCTCGCCTGCCTTCCAAAAAACGAAACGGCTTTTAATTGTCTTGTGATTGAGGCTCGAATTTCGGATTTTTTCGGATTTTTATTCGATTTTTTTCGATTTTTGGACTTCGGTTTTTAAGAAGGTGTGCCAGGTGCAGCCAAAGAGCCTGTTTCCCACTCCTCGCCGCGGGGATTTCATCTCGAGCTGTCCAAATAAACACGCACACACTTTGTAAGCGTCGGAGAGCAAATAAATATTTGTAATTTATATGTTTTCTGGCCGCGTGGGCAACACACTGCAGATACAATAAATAAATCGGGTGTGAGAATGTGATTTTCGTAGGCAAAAAGGCTGAATGGAGCCAAGGTTTAAGTCAGGAAATGCACGCAAACGAGTTTTAAGAACCCAAAAGCTGGGGAATTTATGGGAAACATTTAAAAAAAGCCTTAATGTATCAACTAATTACGAGTTTGTACTGCAGCAGAGCATAATAACAAATTGCCAAATGTTCGCACATTGCTCATACGCAGTGTGTGCCCATAAAGAAATATATTGGCTTGTCTACGCTTTTCATAAGGCACGCCACTCGCAAAAGTGTGCCAAATAAATCAAAAGCAAAGCCATTAAAACGCGTATTAAATTAAACCTGAGTAAACAAACAGAGCGGGCTTTAATCGAATGACAAAATAAAATTAAAAATAATAACGCAAACCCCAAACCCAATAGGCAGGTTACAATTTAATGGGCAGTAAAATATTTACGACGCTTTCGGGACAAGTGCAGGCTGCAAAAATCTGAGTCATCCCATGCTTCCCACGTTCCAAAATAAACAGATCGAAGTTGCACAATTTCGCATATAGATGAATGCGAATATATATCTTAGTTAATCTCTTCGATCGATCGATTGTCTTAGAGACGATGGGAGGTCGCCTGCCCAGGTCATTTTTTTCGCCTGGCTTTTTTGCACAGATTTTTATATGGCAACGAAAGCTAAACAAAGATGATTATTTTATAGTTTTGAAACGATCGAATATGTATATATCTTGCGAATTCAAGGTTAGACCGGCAGCAATGTGTTCTTTAAGCAACATAGGAGGCCGGTGCGGCAGTAAACAAACATTCCTGCCCTCCAGAAATCCACACATCTTCCCGAGGAATACATATATCCAAATGATCTTGAAACGGCCAACATATGGTGCGGGGGGAAAAAAAAAACAAAATAAAACCAGGCGTTGTCCAGCCAGCCAGTCAGGCGACCAAAAGCCAGACGGCTGCCCGTCAAGCCAAATAAATGGAAGCCGGTCGATTCTGTCTAATGCATTTTGTAGCCCATTTTCAATTAAATTTTTGCACATTTTTCGTCTTTGGCCAAGGTTAATTGATTGAATTTGCGATGATGGCTTTCAATTGTGAATTTGAAGTTGTAAATGCACTTCAGCCAAAGGCTGATTTCAATTTAGATATACGAATGCATTTCCATGAACTATAAAGACTGCGTCTATGCGGTCATAGACGGTTTTAGATTTGCTCATTCTTTTTATTTTGGTTATGGTTTCAACTTGGCGCGTGGGGGATTCACCGGATGACCAGAGTTAAACAGTCGACTCAGATTTTTTCCAGGGAAGCCCACAGAAAAAAAGATTTTAATGGCCCTGTTTTTCGCCGGCTGTTTACCGGCGTTTTTATTTTTCTTTTACCATTTGTTATTTGGCGAATTTCAAGGGCCACGCCGCATTGCGCTTCTCCTTTGTCAATTCTAAAAAGGAAAACGGGAAAAACATTTCCAGGAATTTCAAATGATCGGCTGCACATTCAAAATATTTACAAATACTTTCGCCAGTCCTGAGCAAAATAATTCATGGTAATTTCTGTGTTTTCCATTAATTGCCTGATTGCAATTGTTCTGCAGAATATTTTAATCTGCCAAGAAATTCGAAAGTAATTAAAAGATTTCTCAGGCTTAAGTTGCCTATTTCTCTTATATAGATTTCAACGAAATCGATTTCGATTACGATTTTGATTTTGATTTTGTTTGAGGCAGTCACGCATCGCGCATGCATAACGGCCCCAAAAATCGCACGACCATAAAGTGTACAAGTTTATTTATCATTCGCCAGCAGAGGCACTGTAAACACACGCGCCCCAAATTCTACAAAGTGGAAAAGTTTTTTTATTTGGAAATACAAAGTAAGAACGGCAAAATGCATGTTGCAAATCGCATATAAGGTCAGAATGGCCTGGATATAAATAATTGTGAGATGGTGTAGTGGTAAAATGTAATTCAAAGCGATTTATTGATGCCTGGCTATATGATTTATTCCAAATATGAAGCTGCAAATTTGATAATTTATACTTTTGGATATTTTTTCCCATTTCAATTTGCGCATGTGCGCATACCACTTAAATCGCGTATACGACGTGCTGGCCAAAAGCGGCACAGGGCGCCAGTTTAGTCGGCCAGCACACTGCAATTAAGTCATTAAATACAAATTAACAGCAAACAATTGCTGGCCAGCAAGTGGCCACAGCCATGTAATTAAGCATACGCCGCGTTGTCTGGCCAAACGTTCCACGCATTCGTCGGTTAACACCTCCGATACGATACAATACGATACGATCCGCTGGTCAGCGGTTTACACGAGGGATTTGGATCGAAGCTGCGGCCTTCACGGGGATAGACTGAGCGGCGACGAGACGACTTTGCAGACTGAGTGTCGGCCACATAGCCATATAGCCACATTGGCATAAATTATGGCACTCGGCAAAATATAAAGCAATCGACTGACACACAAATCGCTTGTTTGTTTCCATTCCCAGTCAAGTGTAAACAGGTTTTTCGGCAGCAAAGATGCTTCTTCTGAACATTCCTCGGCCGAACCATCGAATTGGTCAATTAGTCAGAGCGTAATAATAAATTAACCATACGAGAATACCAAGAAGTCGAGAGATCCCCCGAACAATGGAAGCCCTAAACTAAAGAACGGCACATCTGCAGGGCTACTTAACCAGGCGACGCTACGCTGATTAAATATTTATAAGGCAGCTCTCGAAACAAGTTAATAAGCAGCACTCCCAAACGCATGCATAACTAACCAGGCGAGAGATAAAGCCGAGATCGCCGGAATGGGGCTTTAATTAAGTACATAAATACCCAGAGACCCAGTGGATATGGATATGGATATATCTTTGGGGCATCGCGGCATGCTCGATTTGCATTGCAAATTATGCACACGCATTTAAGTATGGGATGAAATTTATGATAAGCCTCACACCAACAGATCCAGATTCTTGTCGACCAAGTCGTCGATCTTTCCTCAAAACATATTGACCGATAAAAATGATTCTGGGTAAGCCGGGTAATTCGATGATAACCCGGGCCATTAATCAATTTGTTGATTGTGTTTTAATGAGTCGATAAGAAGTATTTAAATTGAGAGTTTAATGAACTAGGTTAACCTATATTATATGATCTTGTATATAAATATACCTTTTAGGGATCCAGGAAGAACTGCGCTGAAAAGTAGGCAACATAGTTGTGAGGTGAATAGTTCTACACTGAGTGGTCTTCAAAAACTCATTTCATCACTATTTGTGATAATAATCTTTTTGATCGTTAAAAGGCCTTAAAAGCCCAATTGTGGCACAGGGCGCCGACAACCTAATGAGAATTTTATGGCCCAAAGTTCTCAGCTATTTGCCAAAAAAAAATTAATTTGTTACTTTCGGTGGCGCTGTGAAAGGTCAATAACAATTAGGAATTTCAAGGACAAGTTTGTTCAGTTTTGCTCAGTTATGTGTTATATTTAAAGTCTTGAAAATAGGGGGAACTATTGCGGTTTCCAATTCTCATCAGCGAGAGAACCGCAAAAGCACTTCATTATACGCCGGAAATGTGATCACCAGCGGAATCACACGGCACGCCAAATACTGAATTTCGATTCAAAACAATATCAGAAAAATGCAGACACTCCTGGGGCGACAATATGGCCAATGAGCATAACGAATGTGTCGCCGGTTGCAGAGTTCACCGAGCTGCCATAAAATTATGTAAAATAGCCCATCATTTAGCGGCATTAGCTTGCTAATTTCGTGGGGGAATTTTAATTTATTTGCGCTGATATATGAATTGGCTAAAACAATTTCAGCGGATGAGGTGCAAACAAAGAGCTCTCACATAAATTTACAAATTAGAGGCAATTTAAAATTTTATTTTACTACTTATTTTTTGGTTTCTTCTTTTTTTTTTTGGCTGGCTGTCGGGGGTACTGAATCTTTTTATTCGCATTTTTTCGGCATCGTTTGGCTTTTGTTTTATCTCTCGAGCACAAATTGCCGTTGGCACACTTTACACCTCAGCGTTTAAGCATTTATTTCTAAACAAAATGTGCAAAAATTCGCGGTGCGAGGAAGTGTTTTCAACGGCTTCGTCTATGGTCTGTATGCAGCCAAAGGCCATCCGCCGCCTCCTCATCTCACAGGTGGTCAAGGTATCTGTCCGCCGGCGGCAGTTCATCAATAATTCTTTCGAAACTCAATCGCTCACATCGGGGGCACGTGGAACGTGCTTAAGCACTTATCTTAGCAGCTTTCCAGCCGCCCACTAATCGAACTACGCACCCAAGGTGTGAGAGAATGTCGGACAGTCTAGTATATCTCCGCAGTCCATAATCTTCCATAGAATACGACCCATTAACCGAATCCCCTTTCTCTTTATTCCAGCTCGTGCTGAAGAAGAAGTGTGAATGGTGGTTCTACAGGTACGAGTGCAGCCAAAAGATGTCCACCCACTGGAGGCAGCACGCCTGTCTGTATGCCTGCGCCTTCGTCTTCCTGCTGGCCACATCGGCCATTTTCTATTATGGAATGCTAAGTGCCCATAAAACCCTAGAAGTGCTGCCCAAGAGCAACCACTCACTGCCCCTCGCCAATGTGATAAGCATACCTCCAGATCCACCTACAAAACTCGAAAATTATACTTTGGCGGAACCAAGCCCTCCGGATGGCACCCAGGATCTGGAGGAGGAGGATCACGGCGCCTTCGTAACGCCCACCAAAGTCTACAACTACAGTCTCAGCGAAGGCGATCTGATCTACGAGTCGAAACGAAATAGCGATATAAACAGTTTTCTTAAAGGTAGGTTCTGATCTTTAAATAATAAAACAGTTTAAGGCATATCTAAAGTTACAAGCAAAATAATAATAATATCTATGGGGCCTTGGGGGGGTCTTGAACTACATTTCCTAATGTTTCCCACATTCCTATAGAATCTGCCTCTGCCTTCACCATGACGGGAACCTATCGCAACATGAGCAATGAGATTTGGGACCCACATCCGCAGTACAACCTCGAAGTGTTTGGGCGCCAATTGCATTTGGTGCTGCGGCAGGACGCCTCATTCATCCACAACAATTCGTTGCCCCGCTTCCGGGTGCTGAAGGAGGAGGAGGAGACCCCTGGATCGGAAGAGGAGGCGGATCAGCGACACCTGCGCTGCCTATACAGCGGCTACGTCGAGGACGATCCCAACTCGATGGTCTCCGTCTCGCTCTGCGGCGGCATGGTAAGGCCAACAACTAGCTCCTGACCTTCGTTTAAATCTCATTTACATTTCGCATTTTGCAAATTATGCTTATCAATATGCCGCCGAATATGACTACTAATCGCCCCCTCGTTATCGTCTCTCCTCCAGACTGGTTATATCAAAACCAGTTTCGGCGCGCTTCTCATTCAGCCGGTGAACCGGACCAGCAGCGATGAGGTTTTGCACTGGGTCTATAGGAAATCACACCGAAACGCCAGACAGGCTGTCTCCCAGTTCGACTTGGGCCTGGACGCTATGATAAGCCAGATGGAGAAGGCTCAGAAGCTGGAGCAGGAGCAGAGTACCAAATCCCCTAAGCTGACGCGACGAAAGCGACACTATGCCGATGTGGACAACCAGGTGTACACCCTGGAGGTTCTGATAGCCGTAGATTCCAGCATGGAGCGATTCCACGGACAGGACTTGCAGCCCTACATCTTCATCCTGATGTCAATCGTCTCCAGCATTTTCGCAGATGCCAGCATCGGCAACTCGATTCGTATATCTTTAGTAAAGCTGATCAGCCTGCCCATTATCAACGCCAACACCAATTCCAGTAACGATATGCTGAAGCACTTTTGCAAGTTCATTAATACTTATGGCTACCGAAGGGATACAGCCATGCTGATTACACGGTGAGTGGATGGGGATAGGTGTTATTTCTAAAGGGACTCCTAATCCTAATCATCAACTTTTTGAACCCCAGTGAACCCATATGTGGCAGCGTGCCGGGCAAGATTTGCCACATGCTGGGCCTGGCCGAACTGGGCACCGTTTGCAGTGCCAGTTCCTGCTCCATTGTCCAGGACACCGGACTGCCCACCGCCTTCACCATGGCCCATGAGCTGGGACACATGTAAGTAATGCATTCCAGTGCTAGGATTAAGTCTCTTCTCAAGAGTTCTCAATATTTTTTGTGTCCTTGTACAATTTGAAAATAAGAACATCATGTGAACTGTGTGAACGGTTTTCTGAAGAATTCGCGTTTAAGTTTTTTGTGCGTAATTATTGAAAAGAAAAACTAAGTGATAACCATATTGTTCTGATGAGTTCATGGTGGCTTTTTTACCAGTCAATGTCAAACGCTTTTAGTCTTAAACACATTTTAGATTATATTAATTTTATTAATTACAATTTATATATATCTCAATACCCTACTTTCCTTAGCTTGAACATGAACCACGACGACGACGACAAGTGTATGCCCTATGTGGCGAGGCACAACAACAACAAGGTGCTTCACATCATGTCCAGTGTGATGGGCATCCACATGCATCCGTGGTCGTGGTCGAAGTGCTCCCGCCACTTTGTCTCCGAGTTTCTCGAGTAAGTGGAAATCGAATTACCCCCATTAAGGAGAGTTACCAGTGTTTTCCTTTCCTATAGGAAAACCGACAAGTCCTGTTTGGAGACCTTTGTGGGCGAGGACATTGACTATGGCAACAATAAGTTGCCAGGTGAGATCTACTCGCTGGACCAGCAATGCCAGCTGAGCTTCGGCAACGACTTCTCCCACTGCCCCCAGACCGAGGAGTGCCGCCGGCTGTGGTGCAACCGGATGCCAAAGGGCGATCAGTGCCGCTCAAGCAATTTGCCCTGGGCCGATGGAACGCCCTGCGGCAGTGGTGGTCACTGGTGTCAGAGGGGCAAGTGTGTGTCCAACAAACATGGTTACGGACGACCGGTGAATGGCGGTTGGGGTCCCTGGACAAAGTTCACCCCCTGTAGTCTCACCTGTGGTGGTGGAGTTCAGGAGTCGCGAAGGGAGTGCAACTTACCGGTGCCCGAGAATGGTGGCAAGTACTGCACCGGAAGCCGGAAGAAGTACCGCTCCTGCAACACCCACCAGTGTCCGCAGGGAAGCATGGATCCCCGCGAGCAGCAGTGCTATGCGATGAACGGACGGAACCTTAACATTCCGGGCGTCAACCCAGACACCAAATGGGTGCCCAAATACGAAAGTGAGTGTGGATTGCCCTCTGTAAGTCCCTGAGCTAATCAATGCTTTCTTTATCCATCCCCCAGAGGATGCCTGCAAACTCTTCTGCCGCATGGACATGAGGGTCACCTACTTCATGCTGAAGAGTATGGTCACCGATGGCACCTCCTGCGCCGTGGACAGTTTCGACAAGTGCGTCAATGGAATTTGCCGGCCAGCGGGTTGCGACAACGAACTCAACTCCATTGCCAAGTTGGGTAAGAAGTCTCGCTAAGATTCTCTAGCGGATCTCCATAATTAATCAATTTCCTGTTCTTTTTATTGCAGACAAATGCGGCGTGTGCGAGGGTCGCAATGACACATGCCATGAGGTAACCGGCAACCTACTCGTCTCCAATCTCCTGGGTCTAAATGATGGGAATGAAGCCAACAAGACACTCTACTATGTGACAAGAATACCAAAAGGTGTGTACTTATTTGCACTTGTCTAACTACATTTCTTTAATTAAGTTTTGGCTAATAATTTCCTCAATGAATGCTAATGGTATCTGTTTGTGCCTTTCGGGCTTAATGGGCAAATCGCTTACCTACGTGTTTGTTGTGTGGTCGTTGAGCTCGTGACTTGCGAATAGTATTAATGGTATATAGATAGAGTTGTCGCCGGATCAGCAGGTACAACGGCGCCAGGTGAATGCACCCCACCGCCTCACGTACGCCAAGATTGCACTCTTTCCGATTCTGGGCTATCATCGGTAGTCGCCTCCGTTCCAAATCGGCCATTAATAGTATATATATTGCTGGGAATCAATGTGTCTTATCTCCTTCTGGCGCCACCGTTAATCTTGTAAATTCCAGGCCTTGTGTAAAGGCACTCGAAATCAACTGCATCATCACTGATTTAAAATTTGCATTAATAACATTTTTCTTAATCACTTGGCATTGCCATTTCTTATCTGCATGTTTATAAAATGCACTTTTAATGTACTTGAGAAATCTCTGTGCAGTTTTTCAATCAAACATTTTTCACACACAAACTATTTCCAGCAAACTTTTATGACTCACTTCCTTTCTGATAAAATCAGCATTACTTCGAAAATGTTCTAAAAAGCACCTAAGAATACCGAATAAATGTTATCGGAAAAATACTAGCTTTTATCTAGAAGCCCTTTATACGAAAAGATTTATCGATTCAGATTAGATTTATATTTCCAAAGGCTTGTTTAAGCTGTAGATTATTATTTATTATCATTTGATATATATATATATTTTTTATTGTAATAAAGTATTTATCTTACTTATCTTATGTATTTATTCCCAGGTGCCTCCAACATTATAATCACTCAGGAAAACTATCCTGACCAAAACTACATAGTGCTGAGCGATGACAAGGACAACAAACTTCTTAACGGTCATGCTGGCATCAAGACATATTCATACAAGTTTGTCTATGCTGGGGTTACGATGCAGTATACTGGCTCCAACAGCTTGGTGGAGCAGGTGAACACGACCTACTCATGGAAATTATCACGTGATCTTATAGTTCAGGTACAACTTGAGGGTTTCCCTACCCGATGGCAAAGTATGACCTATATATTAATTTACAGATCATTTCCCTTGACGTGAGTCCGGCCAAACGTCCCGATACCGTACTGATGTCGTATTCCTACACCATTGACAAGACCCCGGATCTCGATGCGGAGGTGGAGATCTATCGCTGGGAAATGCAGGCCCCCAGCAACTGCGATTCGCTCTGCGAAGGAAGGAGCCATCGGCAACCGGCCTGCATTAGTATTACCGAGGGCTTGAAGGTTGCCCCACAGTTCTGCGACAAGTCCTCCATGCCAAAAGTCGAAGATCGGCCCTGTAACACAGACTGCCGCCTTAAGTGAGTTATAAACTCAAAAAAAAACTGTTTTTAATACTGTTCTATCGATATCACAAAGTATTGTCTGTTTTCGAATCAACTTTGTTGTTAAATCAAGGGTTCTTTTATCTTTATCATCTGTCATCTACATTGAAAACCACTTGAGAGCTCTTTTTTCTTGATATCAAGAACATTTCTTCCTAGATAAGTAAGAGGACTAATTAAGAACATTTGTTCTGGGCTCTTTTCCATTCTCAATTTTAACGAACAATTATTGTATTACAATTTCAGTCTCACGGTGACGAGCATTTCAGAGTGCTCCGCCGCCTGTGGAGAATTGGGAACCCGAGAGAAGACTTTCCATTGCGTTCAGACATTCACAGATATGCAGCGTTCGAATATTGTGGACATGTCCTATTGCAAACTGAAGTACGATGTGGCCTACCACGAGGAGTGTCGTGAGGGTTGCTGGGTTCTATCAGCTTGGTCATTGGTGAGTCCCGAAAACATTTTAATTTTGCAACGATACTACGTTTTTCTTTCCCTTAAAGTGCTCGAAGTCTTGTGGAACGGGTTCTCAGAAACGTGAAGCTCACTGCTATCTGCAAGGTTCCCGCGTTAGCGACGATCTTTGTAATCCCCTAACCAAGCCCCAGGTTACTAATCTCATCAGGGTCTGCAACTCTGAGTCTTGCCCCACATATACCGAATCACGTGTAAGTTTTTTTGAATATACCCATTTATAATTTAATTACATGTTTAAACAATTACCTTTGACTTTACCTTTACAGAATCAGGTGGCCGTTAGTAACTGGGTAATTGGAGAGTGGGGCGAGTGCAATGACTGGTGTGAGAAGACTCGCTCTGTGAGTTGTTCACATCCATACGGAATCGGCTGCGGAAGCAGGAGGCCCAAGGACGTCCGCAAATGTTGCCACATCAAGTACACCAGCGATTGGACAGAGGTGAGATTTCTTAACTACCATTTAATATAATAAATACATCTTCAAATATATAATTTTATCATCTAGTGCTCGGTGCAATGTGGCGAGGGTGTCAAGAGGAAGAAGCAGACCTGCACGCGGGTGTACAAACCAGAGGTTCCGGGTACTCGAAAGCGAAGAGTTTACATAGACGAATCCTTTTGCATAAGCCGAAAGGTGCACCGTCCCAAACTGAGAACCACCACCAAGTCCTGCCGGATCAACTGCAAGTGGAATGCCTCTGACTGGCGAAGATGTTCTGCGGACTGCTCGGAGGAGTACCAAACCAGGGATGTGCGCTGTGAAACTTGGCAGGGTGATGGAGTGGAGGACAGGCACTGCGATGCAAAGAAGCGTCCTTCCAAGCGTCGCATCTGCCACCACTGCGTGCGACGGCAGTCGAAGATAGTCGTACCGGTAAGCTAATATGGGTAATAAAATCTGAACACACTGTTATTAACTTCTTTCGCACAGTGCAACTGCGAGGGCGTTGAGAAGAGAAGGGATATGTGCTTCAACTCGCACAAGGGTCGCATTCCCTGTCCCACCCGCACCAGGGTGGAGAGGCACAGGTGCAGTCCGCCAGCCCATTGCCGCAGGAGGAGTGCCACCAGCAGCATTAGCAGCAGACCCAGGAGTAGTAGTAACGATATATTTAACAATAACAGCGGAAGCATAAATGCCCTTAGCGACCAAAGGCAACAGGGAAGAGCAAGGAGCTGTGCCGAGCTGAGGGATATTTATGGTTATAACCAGGATGGGAACTACCAACTGGAAGTGAGATCGCGTACGGTGCACGTCTACTGTCACGGGATGGGCAGCAGTAGACCCATTGAGTACCTAAACGTGGATCCGCAGGAGAACTACTCGATTTTTTACGAGTACCGCACGAAGCAGACCACCAGTTGTCCACCGGAGTCGCGTGCCCACGAGTACTACAACGACCAGAACTCCGGACGGACGCACTTCAGCAAGCTGCGACTGAACATCACCGATCTGCGGATCGTGGACAACGATTTTCAATTCGCCGAAACGAGGGGCTTACCCCAGAAGCTGGGATCAGCTGGGGATTGCTACAACCGCATTGGCCAGTGTCCGCAGGGAGACTTCTCCATCAACATGAAGAACACGGATTTTACTATTCGCCCAGGAACCCTGTGGAAGACCCATGGTCAATACTCCGTCATGAAGCGTATCAGTGAGGTGAGTTTTTTATCTACAACTCAAGAATACTTTTATCTCTATATCGAAAACCAACTATAGAGCAATTTCGTCTTGATTTCAAGAACGTTTCTTCTCGAATAAGTGAGATGACGAGTTCTCTGCCCTTTTTTCCTTTCTCTATTTTTCTGGATATAATATAAATGTGTTACCCCTTCCAGTTTGATACCACATCGGTGATGCGGCGGGGATTCTGCGGCGGATACTGCGGCGGTTGCTACATTGCTCCCAATTCTGGCCTTTACCTGGACGTGTTATGACGGAAGCCACTGAATAGTCAGCGGGAAAGTTTGTTTGCCCTTCCCAACGGTAATCGGGTCTACGTCCCGGGAAGGACCAAGGGTTAAGTTAATCCGAGCATCCAAGCATTCGAGGGTTACCCCAGCCAAGCATTACCAAGAGTCCATTACCAAGAGTCCCCAAGGGTCCGACAGCCGAGTGCAGCGCCATAACCACTGTCGATGGTTAAAAGTATTCTCGAATATTAGTTAGGATATACAAATATACCTTAGGAATCGTGTATACCTTAGGAAGCCCGAACAAAAGCAAAACGTTTGTACATATAATTATAAATTTCTCTCCGAAATTATAAACTAGATATTGCCATGTAATGTATTAAGTATTGTAAATACTAGAGGACTTGAGCCTTTAATATAGCAAATAGGGAGTCATGTCCATATATATAACCTAATCATTTTGGGATTGGGGGAGTTGAGGTGATCGGCGAAATAATGATCACTTAAGATATGGACAGCTCCTGAGTTTGATTGACCAAAATACAATCCATAAGTCGGACGGTACCCGTTAGGTAATTAAGGCCGCTCAGATAACCCCGTATTTATGCCAACGATAAGCAGTGATGGAAAGTTCCAAGGTACTTGCTAACTTTACCTAGCTAAACTCAAGTGATGCATTTTTAATGATTATTGCATGAATAATAAATCTACTAAATCGGCATATTTTAAAGCCGTCTAAAAAAATATACAAGTACTAAGTTAACATATATGTAAACTTTCCTTTTACCCTTACTCTCATATCTCCTTTACCTTGACCTATCCATAACTGAAGATCCCCGAATATCAAGTGCTCGACCAAACTAGTGCAATGCCGGTCTGTACAATAATTGTATTAGCTAAGCTTCGCAATTAATAAGTTAAGAGAGAAAGGGAGAGAGACAAATTCGGAGAAATTGTATGTGTAACTAAAACGAATACTCATATTATTTAGGATACCCCGACCGCACAAGCCAAAACCAAACTATTCATCTAATTAACACTGCTGAAGAAACATTTTGAGTTCATAATCAACCACTGCCAGTCTTTCAATGTTTAATCCATCATATATCTAATCGCCTAAGTCCCGGTACCAAGTATCCTCGCTGTATTTTCATTTAACTAGCTAGGCTAAGGCTAAAAACCATGTTAACAATTAATTTAATGTCAATTAAAGGAATTTAAAGCTGTTACCAACCAAACTTCGTTCGGACCTTCAGGGCTTTTGTTTTCAGTACACGGATGGGGGTAATAGAAAAATGTATTTATTTAAAGTATTTAATAGTTTTAATGGAAGATATATTTGGCTTTCAATTCACTCTGACTAGGGTTAAAAGCTCTTCATATACATTTTATTGCTATTCGACATGGGGCACAGCCACGATTCTTACAGATAGTTGTTCTTGATGGTAAAAATCCCCTGTGCCGCTGCCGATGAAGTGGCCATGAAGGATGAGCTCTGTGTATTTGTGAATCTGAATCTGAGTTGGATGATAATTGTGCGATGGGTTCGCTGCTTTTGTCTATCACTGTGCGAGCTGATTTTGATGTTGTTGAAAAGCTCGATGGGTATGGATTGTTGTTCCGTTGGGTTGTCGCTGCTGGTTGTTGCCTTTGAAGAGCTTTCGCAACGGGCGAAAGACTTAAAAGCACTTGCGGTGGACGATTCCAGGGCCGGACTCGTCGTACTCCTGCTTGGAGATCCACATCTGCTGGAAGGTGGACAGCGAGGCCAGGATGGAGCCACCGATCCAGACGGAGTACTTCCTCTCAGGTGGCGCAATGATCTTGATCTTGATGGTCGATGGGGCCAGGGCAGTGATCTCCTTCTGCATACGATCAGCAATACCTGGTGGGGGATTAGGAATTCCAAAGGATTAACCATGGTTTTCAGGCTAAATAAATCCTATAACTCACCTGGGTACATGGTGGTACCGCCGGACAGCACAGAGTTGGCATACAGATCCTTACGGATGTCCACGTCGCACTTCATGATCGAGTTGTAAACCGTCTCATGGATGCCGCAGGACTCCATGCCCAGGAAAGAGGGCTGGAACAGGGCCTCGGGGCAGCGGAAGCGCTCGTTGCCAATGGTGATCACCTGGCCATCGGGCAACTCGTACGACTTCTCCAGCGAGGTGGAGGCGGCGGCGGTGGCCATCTCCTGCTCAAAGTCCAGAGCCACATAGCACAGCTTCTCCTTGATATCGCGCACAATCTCACGCTCGGCGGTGGTGGTGAAGCTGTAGCCGCGCTCCGTCAGGATCTTCATCAGGTAGTCGGTCAGATCCCGACCAGCCAGATCCAGACGCAGGATGGCATGGGGCAGGGCGAAACCCTCATAGATGGGCACCGTGTGGGAGACACCATCTCCGGAGTCCAGCACAATACCAGTGGTACGACCGGAGGCGTACAGGGAGAGCACGGCCTGGATGGCCACGTACATGGCCGGCGAGTTGAAGGTCTCGAACATGATCTGGGTCATCTTCTCGCGATTGGCCTTGGGGTTCAGCGGGGCCTCGGTCAATAATACTGGATGCTCCTCGGGGGCCACGCGCAGCTCGTTGTAGAAGGTATGATGCCAGATCTTCTCCATGTCGTCCCAGTTCGTGATGATGCCGTGCTCGATGGGGTACTTCAGGGTGAGGATACCACGCTTGCTCTGGGCCTCGTCACCCACGTAGGAGTCCTTCTGACCCATGCCCACCATCACACCCTGGTGACGGGGACGGCCCACAATCGAGGGGAACACAGCGCGGGGGGCGTCATCACCAGCAAAGCCGGCTTTGCACATGCCCGATCCGTTGTCGATAACTAATGCACCCGCATCATCGTCACACATCTTGGCAGTTGATTATCTGAAAGGGAAACGGGGTTGGACTCGGTCAGTTTCGTCTGGGGTTTGGTTGAAGAAAAAACCTCCGTTCTGTAAACTATGAAAGCCACCAAATATGTTGGAAACCCAATTTCCTATTTCTGTCTCTCAAGAAAAAACGTTTTAATATAATACAAATATTATAGACTTTGAATTATATGTGAAATCACTTATTAAAACTTATTCTTTCCGCGGTACTTGACTGATTACAAATCTTATGAATAAAACCATAGTTCAAATAGGGGTAAAATTAATAAGGATTTTATGAAAAATATCTTTCACTAAAAAATCGTGTGATAAAAATGGTTTTCATTTATAATCTGCTTTCTAATTATCAAATTATAATAGATTATTCGCCTATCAATCCTTTATAATAGCCTGAAATTGGAGTTCCATTTAATGGCTCGTCTTATATCGTTATTCACTTGAATTAAGAACAGTGCTCTAAAAATATCCTCAAATAGCAGTTCATAGAACTCAATTTAAACTGATCAAATTAATTAGAAATTCTTTTCGGTTCGATTACTCTTCACTTTATAAATAGAAAATGAACTTTCGAAAGAGGTTGAATTACGGAAAAATCCTTTAGCACAATAATTATAAACCAATTTTCTTGTAAGCTGTATTGGTAGCCTTAGTCCTGATGGCTTTGCTTTGTGATAATCCTTGATTCCTTCGACATTGAGGTCGCACTCACACACCTTTTAGGTCAACGAAAGGAGGTAGTATGGATAAAGTCGCACGTTCGATTCCTGTTGACGGCTAGACTCAACAACAAATGGCACGCCGTGCGGTCTGTCCTGCCTTTATATCAGGGCTCTCACTTCTGGCGATTTGAGTTGGATACCAGGGCGGTACTCAGAGAAGATTTGAGCGAAAGTGGTGCGAGGCAATCAACTCGAATCGATCCATATAAGCAGTTTACATTGTTCCGATTGAGCATAGAAGTTTGGGTGTTTATTTATACGAATGCGACACATCAATGCGCTTCGGCAATAAGTAAGTATATATTTAATTTAAGATTCATCAATATGATAAAAAAATCAGGTAAATATATTGGGTCCTATAAAAAATACGAAACCATTTAAAAAACTTCACAGTTGTATTTATAATAATAAAATAAATTATTATAAATGTTAATACAAAAATATTAATAAATATATTAACAATCTTAACTTTGAAATAATCCGAAGAACGTAAATAGTCTGTGAGATACTTTGTGTTCTTATTTATTAGAATTTTAAAGTTAAAGTGACGACCTTAAACATAAGTACCCTTTTTTGAAATAAGAGTAGCGTTCAAATAAAAATAATATTATCAAAACTTAAAATGTAATAATTTTCTTTAGCTTAGCGTGAGGAAGAAAAAGCGATCCTCATATGCGAAAAATTTATTAATGCCTATGAACCCCTAGAATATTACCATAGATAATGTATCTTTTTCTTTAAAATGCTTTTGTTTTCCAATTCAATCATTCACTTTACAAAATAAATCTGTCTTGTATGGATTATGTTGATCCTAGAATCCAGAAATTAGTTTTCGGCTAAGGTTGGTAGACAATATTAGGACGCTTATCATTCATTGTAGGGAGTGTTAGGAGAGAAAGCTCGAGAAAGATAAGAGAACTGAATGGACGAGTGATTAGCAGATGTGCGTGAAAGTCGGAGCATGGGCCACCTCGGAGGCAATCAGTGCTCTCGAGTGGGCAATTAGCCCCGATCCCTTCCCCGATCTCCGATCCCAGCCCCCGATCCTGATGCTGCGGCCGACGACTCACTCGCCTCGCCGAGAGTTCAGAAAATAGCAACGGACCTTAGAAGGACCGACGCAAGACAATTGGCATCCACACACATCCACATATATGCATCCACATCCATTGCAGGGACTGGGAGAATGGGACATTTCAACGGGCACGCAGCGAGGCAAAACCAAAATAGACGCGCCAAGCAGAGCGACACCTATAAATCAACATCAAGGTTGATCGAGATCTCCGCGCGCGGTGCTCGAGGAAGCTGCATTTACATGTACATCTGCATTTGCAATTGCAATTGCGGCGCCCATTCCGTCCCGAAGTTGCGAAATCGCCGTGCCGACAATCATTTATCAGAGCAATTAACCATAGCCAGCCAGACCGACGGAAAATGCATCTTCGCATCGCGGTATTTCGGGTTTTTCTCAATCGATATGTATTTATCCTTTTATGTAGATTTCATTATTTTTTAGATTCTTTCTATTTACATTTTGATTGCTTGCCCACATGTATAATCGTATGTGGTTTGGCTAAAAATAAGAACTGATTGTTCGGAAGTGAATTAGTGGCATTCCCAAAGTGTTTTATTTGGTAATTGCTTTGATTGTCATCGTGTGTTGAGCAAGAGTTTAGTGGCTATGGGCAGAGTCGTAGGAATTTCTGTTATCACGATTACATTTCACCTAAGAATGATCAAAACGATGAATAACTTATTAAAAAGAAAATATAAAATTAACATGTTCCATAATATAATAGAACAAATTGGTTAATTCAACTTTTGTATTATATTTAGTGCAAAATCAATTTGTTAGCTGACTCTCTGGAGATTTAGGCTGATTCTGAAAAGATTTTAGTTTAGCTTTTCAATACATTTATTTTTTAGACAGAATTTCTTATACCCTATAGAAGGTTCATAGATACAACATTTTTGCAAGAAGAAACCATATATAAAAATCTTTAATACTAATTCGACGAAGATCATATTCCAAATTCGTTGATCTTTTTATTGTTGCTTGGGACTATCTCTTCCTTCTGTTCTCCTATATTTTTTTTATTATCCTTTCTCGTTCTTCTCTGTTCTGTCACTTTTGTAAAGCTAAAAAAATTTTATATTTTCCTTCCTCTTCCAAGAACATGAATCATATTTTTCCTTATTTGGTAACTCCAAACTAGTCTATTTCTTTGACCCCCAATTCTGCATAGCAACAACCCCTCACAACTCCTACATTCCCTTTCACCTTTCTCTGCTCTCTCCCATGAAGATGAGAAAGCATTTTTTCGGTCAAAAAAATAAAAGCATACTTTTTGGCTGTTACGAAAGATACAACCGCAATTACCCCAAGGTAAACTATAGGTGGCGCTTTAAAGTACCCTAAATTATTATCATTTCCCTGAATATATTTCATTAATATTGAATATTTTTTAATATTTTATTTTAAAGATAAAAGCGAATCGTTTTTTTGAGGGACTTTTAAGTTAATAAACTATTAGATGGGTTTCTGCACAGGCCCCCTAAAAGCTCAACAGAGCCCGTTTCCGCTGGCACCTCGGCAGCTTGTTGGTGAAAGAGCGCAAAGCGAAAGCCAAGCGAAAGAAACGTGATCCCCGGCCAAAACGAAAGACTTAAGACCCGAACGTGAAATGCAGAAGCAGAAGGAGAAGTAGAAGCAGAATGAGAAAAGCAAAACCAACACCAAGCCGAGCTGGAAAAAGAAAGTGCAAGTGGAAGCGGATGCTTAAGTATTCCGTCAGCGGAGTCGGGTTTGTATTTTGTTACTTCTGCTGTACACTCTTTGTTCTTCGCGCCTGTGTTGGTTTCACGGGCAGAGCGCTCTGCTGGATACCGAGACTAAGACCAAGACCGAGACCGAGACCCAGACCCACAGCCACTCCACTCCACTCCACCACACAACCACCATAACCATCACCATCACCATAGCCACCATCACCACCGGAGGCAAAGTTAAAACCAAAAACCTGAGCCACGAGCGCGTTGGCGATGACGATGACGTCGACTGAGGCTGCGGCTGCGCAGTGGCCGCGCTGCTTGACCCACTTTTCTGGCCCCATACAATCAGAATGTTTCATGTTTCGATTTTATTATTTTATTTTCTGTTTCTCCTTTCGTGTATCTTTTTCGATTTGCTGGTCAGCGCTGAAGTTACTTTTTCTTTTCTTGCTTTTGCGGCTTTGCTGCTCTCATTGTTCATGCTGCTGGTCGTTGTAGGCCTATGAAAGATACATACATATACATATGTAAGTGTGTAGATACAAGAACCATTTATTTCGTGGCATGACTTTCGAAAAATTGCTGCCTGTTGCTGTGCGGGGGAAAAATCCTCTGTACGGCTAGGCATTACTTTCAGATTTTTTTCACATTACAGAAGTAACGGAAAATCAATCTGGATTGAGAATTAAAACGTAAGCAACATATGCTTAACCAAGATTGTAGGATTTTTCGACATCATATTGCTGTTGCTGCTGTAAATGTTGCTGCTGTTGGTGTTGCTGCTGCTGCTATGGCTGTTGCTGTTGCTGCTGCGTTGCTGCCGGCAGCATGACATAAACTTTCGATTGTCTGCCCGTCACATAACTGTTACTCGTCTTGTGCCTCTGTTTCCCCACATTTCCATTTCCATCTTCTCGTTCTTTTGGGCCATTTCTTCGCCACCACATCAATTTGGACTTTGGGCCTAAATGGGTAATTGGGTCAGTCGCCGTCGCCGTCGCCGTCTTCGTTGGTTGCTTTCGGGAAAAGCTTTTCAAACTCATTTCACTTAAAATTCTTCTGGCTTATATTTTGGGTTGTTAGTCATGCGGCAGCTGGCTCTTGTTCTTTACGAGATTTTATGAAATTCGGTGATCTCTGCTTTCCTCTCCGCGGATTTTACAACTTTCATGGCTTATTCTTTTTCTTTTAGCTGGGTGCTTAATGCGTTTGGCATCGTTTTTGGAATCTTCGCTGGTTCTGCCTCGCCCTCTGCACATCTACAGCTTCTTTCGCCTTGTCTTGTTAATAATTTTGTGTTAATTATTAAAAAGTGAAAATACGCTTTTGGCTTTTGGGGTCTCGGCTGCTTTGGCTGCATTAATCATTTGGCCGCGATACATCCTCGGCTCGTTTCTTTTTTTCTCTTCCCAAAATCAGTGCAAACGGTTCTGGCCCGGTCGAGATTTATATAACGAACCGGACCGGACGGACCGTCCAATTAAATCCATTAGCTCTCCTATTGACGAAGATCATCGGTTTGGCAATAAAATGCGTTTTCGTTTTCAGCAGAAACAAAAAAATATTCCGTTGCTCATTAGCATGTAAATACGAATTCGGGCCTATAAGACACTCGAAAGTCGTGGTCTTGCAACACATGATTGAGCACTGCACTATGACTATGACTATGAATGTATAGATCTTGAACGGGTTCTGCATCCCTACTATATGATTTACATCTATAAATGTAACACAGTCGGTGGCTTCATGGGGCAACTTTCACCCAGCTGGGCGATGGTAAAAGAATCGATCAATCGGCAACGGTGTGAAGTGACAAGCACGGTGTTCTGCCTTTACAACACTTTACAACATTGAAATTCTCGCCGACAATTCATCAGGCTTGGGAAAATCTCGAAAGAAAGAAAAAGCTGAGTAAATAGAGGCCTACTACTGTGTGTGCAGGGGCAATTCAATCCAAGTACAATGGTAAAATGGGTAGGGGAAGTGCTGCAGACATCTTCTACATTAGAAAGTTTTCTACAACTACCATGCCAAAGCGGGCAGCATCGAGTGTAAGACAAAAGAAACAACTGTAAGTGCAGAGAGCCCCACGAAAAGCACCCAAACTCTAAGATACAAGATACTCCAAATGGAGCCTGCTGAAGACAGAGCTTTGCGCTTGGTTAGACCAGTAGAAACACCAGTACCAGTACTACCACTAGTACCAGTACCGCCAGCAACAACAATGAGAAATGCAGCGGTGAAAGATTTCCAAATGCAACTCAAAGCCACTGCAAGATGATTTTAACTTGAGTTTTCCAGTTGGGTCTGCTGCTCTCCACGGGCAATTAAAGTATAATTAAGAATCTAATCGA